CCCAGGGTACTGTTTGCTTCCTGGTCTGTAAGCTGCCCTTGTCCCTGCAGGCTTCTCCTGTTGCCAGCCCTGGGTGAGGGCAGAGATACTTTGGAGCCTTCAGTCTACGAAACCATGTGGGGATCCGTGATTGAAAGTATTTTTGGTCTGAATGGGGGGTTTGGAAGGGCTTCCCTGACAAACTTGTGACCCTGCAAAATGGGCTATGGTAAATGTATATGGAGCATTGGACGAAAGGATGCTGGTTGCAGTATGTCTCTCTTTCTGCAGTGCTTACTGCAATATTGTCTAGAGAAGCCTCAGTAGTGCTGGAAATCTGTGTTGATGTCAACGCATGAAATGCATTTTACGTATCTCACAAAGATTAGTTTATAGAAGCACACTGAGTAACTGGTTCCAGTTGCAACCTGCACCAGATCCATCTGTCTTACCTCTTGTTGAAAACCAAGAAGGAGAAAGGGAAGCTTTTTAATTACTGTTTTTCCTTTTTGTTTGTTTGGGGTTTTTTTCATTTTTTCACTTGCCACATCCTCTTGTCATTTTATTACATGGTGATTTTTACTTAAGGTTACTTTTCTCTCTCTCCTATGTGACAGGCCTAGAAGATGTTGTAGCAATAATGATTCCTGAACCCAAAGGAAAAGAGATAGTGAGCCTCCTGGAGAGGAACATTACTGTGATGATGTACATAACGATTGGGACACGCAACTTGCAGAAGTACGTCAGCCGGACCTCTGTGGTGTTCGTCTCCATCTCCTTCATTGTGCTGATGATCATCTCGCTGGCGTGGCTGGTCTTCTATTACATCCAGCGATTCCGCTACGCAAATGCCAGAGACAGAAATCAGGTGAGCAGCGCTGGAATGTTTTTTTTGTGTTTCCAAAAAATCACCATGAGATTCAGCTTAACAGTCAAATTTGAGGAAGTTGTGGATGTGTGGTAAAAATAAACAAACCAAAACAGAAAACAAGAAAGTGAAAAGAGCGGGGATATAAAAATGCCTGTGTTTGGGAAAAGCCAAGATTTCTGTCAGTATAGGTGGGATTCAGGAAAGAAGAAATGAATAAATGTATAGTATATGTATTATAGAGGTTTTCTTCATGCTAAACATACAACAAAGAGACAGAAAGTTGATGACATTTATCAGGGAAAAGATTGCCTTAGTACATATAGCCAAGCAACATAGAAATGTGTATAACTAATGACCCTTGAGAGCAAAATGATCACTAAAATTTAGTGAGGTATGTGAATGTCTGTGTGTGAAACAAAGGTTCACGATCAGTGAAGAAAGAAAAAAAGAATATAAAGTGTTTTCATTTTCATATTTCTTTAGAAGAGTCTTGGGCTTGAAAGGGAAACACGTCCCTGTTCATTTGACAGTGATCGCTGAATATAGAAGTGCTGTAGTGATAGCCACCAGTGTTATTAAACCATTGCTCTTGGTTTTGACATCTTGTCCAAGCCTCCTGAAAGAGATACAAAACCTATAGAGCTGGAGAGAAGTCAACAACAGTGGGAATGAGCTAAGGCCCTCCGGATTTATAAAACACTGTTCACCTTTGTGGTAGTTCAGCAATGAATTAGAATAGCAACGATAACAATAAATTTAATCTTTTCTTGACTGGATGCAACTATCTCGGCATCAGCAGAACTGTGAAGCTGGGGCTTCTACATTTCATTCTAATGGTACAGTAGAAAATATTATCAATGTATGAAATCTGAGGAGATAACCATTTTACTGCAGGGAAAAAAATGCACTGTAATTTAGAGATGTTTCTGGACCCTTAATAAATTACTGTCGGTGCAGGAGGAGGGTGGCCTTGCTGGCTCTGCAGAAAAAGTAAGACTGAGAGTGTTAATAAGCATCCTGCAGAGAAAAGTACTGCCACACACTAACGTATACTTAACATATAACAATCCCTAACCCTCCCCCCACTGAAATTCAGGCATCCTCTGAGATAGAGAGCAGCTGCTCTGTATTTACAGACAGAAAGAATATATTTTCCTTTTAAATATACAGTATGAAATTTTGGATAGCATGAATGAGACTATCCCAGCTGGAATTTGAACATCACTGGCAGCAGATTTGCTGTGACTGTAACGGCTGTGATCATTTTTAGATGCTTTGGCTGCAAAAGCACATGTGTGCCTGATTTATGTACGTGAGTACCGTGGTGTGCTTTCAATCAAGTAATTATACAGGCACATTAGCAGTGTAAATAGACATACATAAACATGAAACCCAGCAAAATAAGAAGCTCATTCAGGTAATATGCTATGGTTTGGACCAATAGGTTTGTATGTTCAAGCAGATGTCCTTTTCAGTATTTTCTTTCCAAAGTTTGAACAAGACTAACATGCGCACAGCAGTTGTCCTGTGCAGAAGTTTTAATAACTTTGTTATTATACTAGTTTTCTTCTTCGGAAGAAGAATACAGCATGCATCCTAAGCAATTATTTATTATTATTTTTTTGACAAAGCTGTAATAATGATATGGGGCAAACTCGAATTTCTTCACTTCATCCAGTTTTGCCTGACATCGTGTCTAACCTCTTTATTAGCTCTTTTTGTATGAAAAATGGTAGCAATATATAGATAAAGCTTGACCATTTGTGTTAATGAGTTGTTGTGGTTTGTTTTTTTTCTTTTAGTCCTGGCTGTGGAATATAATGATGTAGGTAGCTCAGAAGAGCTCATCTTGCTCTTGCCCTTTCCATGAGGGTTCCTCTCCGTTTCCCCTAAAGTTCTGCTTGGTTTTTTTTTTTTCTTTTCACTGACACATTTGCTTGTAACACAAGGACAGAATCACAAAGTTCTATGTTAATATCTTGGATATTCAGATATATACAAGAAAACTTATTTGTGTTGCTTTGCTGGAGCAAGATTCTTTTGTCATTGCACTCAAAACCTTTTGCCGTTATAACTTGCATTTGTCTGTTTGTATGAAGGTATTGTACTTACTTGTTGGAAAGCCTTACATGTGTTGTAAGCACCTTCATTGCTGGCCAGCTTTAGGAAAGATGCTTCCTTCTATTTGTATTTGATGTACTCAGGCTAAAGTTTATCCAAAGGTTGAAACGTTTGGATAAACAGAGCGTCAGATGAAGGGGGAGCCAGCTCACCTATTCAGAGAAAATTGTGCTATCAGTTCTTACTCCTCAAAGCGATAAAACCTAACCGTGCAGACTTACTGCCCTGTTCTGAAAGTGCAAAAAAGTGTGACTCACTTATGAGACTTTGTTAAAATTAAAAGGAAAAAAAAAGCTTAAATTCATTTTGACATCTGAATGATTTAAAATCCCAGTTTTAAAACAAGGGCTTGCGAGGGCCTGTGTTTTCTGTGTCAGGTAAGAACCCGTGCCTACCTCTTTGTTAACCTCTGTCATGCATGCCCTTCCTGGGTTTGGCTGATGCTGGAGCTGCTACCAGGAGCAGTTCAGCCTCCTCTGGATTGGTAGTCTTGGCACTGTTCTGAGGGAATGGGACAATGTGGCTGACTGCAAAATAGGATTGGCAGAAAAAGCTGTTATCTCCAAGCAGTAGGGTTGTTGCACTGTTACAGGAAAGCAAGATTTCTGAACATCTTTCCTTGGTTACTCCAAATCTCCATAAGTCATCTTTGCCTCTTCCAGGCTGACCCATTGCAACTACGTCTTCCTTTCACAAAAAGGATCGTGTGTCCTTATGTCAAGCCTTGTAACTACCTTTGCCTCCTTGTCCTCTTTTATATGGTGACCCTGCTTTCCATGTCCACTTCCCTTCTTGCACACAGCATAAGTTGCTGATCAGGCAGGAAACCCAAAAGAAACAGATTTAATTATCCGTCAAGAAAGCAACAAGTCCAGCTAGTGAGAGAGGCAGCTAGAAAGACTGAATGATCTCCTGGAATCATTTCCTGTGACTCCCCAGTGAGGTGAAACCTGGACATACAGCATGTACATCTTCAGCCACCACTCTTCCTCCCCATGCCTGCAAAATCTAGGTCCACGTGCCAGAAGGAAGGCACAACTCACTCCAGTTAGGTGCCAGATTTTGGTGAGCAGAGAATCAGGTCTTCAAAGATTGTCGCTGAATGCCCTGGCCCGTTTGCCCCAACTTGGCTGGGAATTAATGCACTGGAGCACAAAACTGTCTTCCATTATGAGCCTGTGCACCTGCAGCCAGGATGTCAACTACAAATACGGTTAGATTTTGATTTTAATACGTTTAATTTTTAAGAGTATCTCTAGCACAGACTACTGTACAGTACATGTGGAAGTAGAAGATAGGTAGTAATATTCAAATGGATGAAAATCCAAGGCCTCATCTTTTTTTTTCCCACCTAACAAGATGTCCAGGAAGTAGGTGGTTGCCCTGGTGGTATGCCCTTTTGATTTGAAGAGGATAAATTTGTGTAATGAAAGCATAGGCAATCTGCTTCCTCAGGCAGCTTGTTCCTGGAGCCCTCCTGAAGATGAGCGAGTTTCTCTATGAAAGACTGTGGGACTTATTTGCATCAAGAGACATCAGGTTGCAGAGCTATTTGAAAGCAGTTTGGAATCACATGACAAGTTAAGTCCTGGAGATAATTCAGCAAAATGTGACTTGCTGTCTCAGCCCTGTAACAGCCAGGACACAGGCTTAAAAAAGAAAAAAGAAAACCAGCCGTGTCGGTGTGTCAGACTTCGTATTTCACTGGTAGTAGCAGAGTTCTCTTTTTGTCATCTGAGAGACATGAGATAGGAAGATGGCAAGGAGATGAAGTTTAAGGGCCGTATTTCTTCCATGTCATTACTTCCTGTTGGTTTCTTGTTAAGATGAAGTTTTCCGTGAAATCATAGTGAAACCAGATGGGCTCCATGAGTTTTGCAGGGCAGTTAAAGCCAAAGCAGGTAGTGATCGCACTGGGGCTGAGGAGAGTCTTGTACATCTTGTTAATCTCCGTTGAAGGATCTACTTTAGTATGTGAGTGACAGCATGTGGAGGGCCGAGCAATTATCTAAGAAGGAAGACTGCTGGTCATGGCTTTGAATGAGAGTTTGGGGCCACTGAATAGACATCAGTCTCTGAAGCAGTCTTGGGAAGATGCTTCGCATGATGGAGTCCGCAAATGTTACCTGTGGTAGAGGAGGTACAACGCGATCTCTTCCCTGCAAAGGTGATAGTTTAGTAAGGCCATTAAGAGAGAAGCACTTACCATAGTTTTTGTTCTACAGCATCTACAGTCGTTTACTTCCTCAGAATCAGACAAGCAATTCTTTCCATGCTACTGTCCTTTCTTTTGAACTAGTACCACCATCTCCGCAAGACCACTGCGTATGATATGCTTAACTCCTTCCAGTCCAGTACTGAATGTTGCAGCCTTGCTAATGAGATTATGAGATGGATGATTGTAAATCTCTAAGCCTCACTTTAAACCCTTAAACTATTGTAATGCCTCTTATCTTTTAGGGGAAATCATTGGTTAATGATAGCATGCCTTTTGTTCAAATGGAAGAATCCTTTGAGAGCAGGACTTTAAGATATTCCCGTTCTTTTGAAAATGAAATTGTGCTTATTTGCATGTAAGTCATGAACTTGTCTATTTAAGATAGATAAGAGAAAGAAAACATGAAAACAAGCAGATCAAAGAAGTACATGAGTCTTTAATCTTGTCCTTTCCCCTTGAAGAAAGTGCAAAAAAGAACTGAGACATTTCATTAGTTTAAGTAACAATAATGATAAAAAGGAATCACAAGCAATTGCTGAAGCAAGACGTAATGGCTCTTGTCTTGCTGCATGTTATCGGTCTGTCTTTGATTTACATTAAAGAAACAAATAGCTGGCAAGAAATGTTTCCAACTGTCGTCTGATCCCATTATTGAAGGGAGACTGTGAGAAAAATGTACCACAGAAAGGATGTTGTGTAACTACAAGATACTCTCTCACATGTAATAATTAGTTATGATGGAGAGCTCATATGTAAATCTCATACGATAGCCAAGTTCGTTTTCACCTCTTTAGCCAGATCTGAAATTGCTGTCCGCTTTCAATATTGCGTGCATTTTACCAGTCTTCCATGTCTTTCTGATCCAATAAGCTTGCTTTCTAAATTTAATTCAGTGATTTTAATTGAATCTGAAGAACAAAGTGGTAATTTATTAATCATATCTGCATGGTAGTTAGGTCTCAGTATACAAACTGCATGCAGCTTGCTTCCATTTTTAGCTTCATGCTCTTGCCCCCTCCAGCTGGAAACCCTTCTCACTGACAGGCCCCTCTGAACTCCGACAGAGGCGGCGTTCCCAGCCCGAAAAGTTGAATGTCTTCTGAGTCACCAAAGCTCCAAAGTCTCCCTCCTATTTAACAGCACATGGCTAGAAACATGGGTGAGGAGGGGAGGTGAAGAGAAGAGTTTAAGTCATTTATTGGTGGCAAATTGGGATGCACTGTATCATGAACTGTTATAAAACTGACGAGAAGACTTCGGAGTAGAGGTTGCTGCATGAAACTGTACGAGAAAGGCATGAAGAAACTGCAGAGAGCCCAGAGGGTTACCAGTACGGTCCAGGGACAGGAGCACATGACGTCTGAAGGAGGGGCGGCGGGAGCTTGGCTTGTGAAGCCAGGAGGGGAGCAGAGGAGGAGGAAGGGCTCTGCTTGCAGCCTTCAGCTGCATAACGTGTGGTGGGAGGGGAGGCAGAGTCAGACTCTTCTCGGAGGTGCAAGGGGAAAGGACAAGGGTAGTGGTCAGAAATTACAACAAGGGAAATTCCATTTTTATGTTTAAAAAAGAAAAAGACTGTGAGAGTGGTTAACCACTGGAACAAATTATCCACAGAGGTTGTGAAATATCCTTTCCTGGAGATATTCAGAACTTGACAGGACAAAGCTCTGACTTTGAAGTTGCCCCTGCCTTGAGCAGAGGGTGGGAGTACATGACCTATCAAAGACCTTTCCAGCCTGTGAGTCCGTCTGCAGATTGCCTCATTGTTAGGTTAGCTCAAGTGAGCAGCCAAGTCCTTGGAGCACTGATACAGGCACAAGCTCAACAGCACAGGGTGCAAAGGTAGCTCTGCTGAGCAGTGATTGTATGAGTTGCCCCACAGTGTTCTCAGCCTCTTGCAAGAGGCAAGCATCTCCATCTTCAGCGTTTGAGGACAGGGTGTTTTGCGTCGGGCTGTTATTACATACTTTAATCCTGAATGGCTGTGATCCTGCCAGCACAGTAACAGTGCTTTGGAAATGTGGGAGAACAGTCAGAAACATCACGCAGTAAGCAATTCATGGTCTGCTGGAGGGAAAGATAGAAAGGCAAAGAACAAGCAAATAGTTATGTATGGATACGATGTTAAGTGAAGGACTATATAGTGCTTTAGCTGTAAGAAACTGCAGATGCTTTCACCTCATTTTTACAGCTTGAATTGTTCCTGTAAAGCAGGCAACTCTGTTTTGCAGGAAAAGAGAACAGCAGAGAAGGTAATTCATGTTTTTCATGGTTAACAAATCAACAGCTCGCTTTCGGCACTTACATCTTGCTGAAGATCATGAACTAGTTCTGGAACAATGTAAGAATAAAGACCTTCTGAATCTTAAGTCCAGTGTTCACTTTGTTTACTAGACCAGGCCAAATTTAATAACATATTTTTCACGAGTGTCGGTAAAAAAAGAGAGGAAATAGGCAGGACAACCAAATAGTGGACTTGTTACATACATTGCTACTCGCTGGAATAGTAAAGGTACTGTAGTGTAGCATCATGATGGCCTCACATGCAGCCTTCACTGGAACTCCATTAGAGTAGTTTTGCCTCATCGGCCGTGGGTTACCAGCAAGCCTAGAATACCTACTGTGCCCTTATTGTGAATAACAGCATGGCTCACCTCATCTGTTTATATTTATACAGCACTGTGCGGTTTCACGTACAGTCACTTTAGATTATGAAGAAGCCTAGGGAGAAAAGGTGATGATTTCTGCGTGAAGGGATACTCTTTGCTTAAGAACAATTTTTGTATTACAGCGCCGGCTTGGAGATGCTGCAAAGAAAGCAATCAGCAAGCTGCAAGTCAGAACAATCAGGAAAGGTGATAAGGTAATTTTTTAAAAATTGCTCATTATCAAATGAAACTCTGTGTTGAGGATTCCTTCAGACCACTGGGACAATGAGGCAGAACAGAAATGGCAATTGCTTATTTAGCTATTGTATGTTCTTCAGGCGGGGGAGGAATACTGGTAAGCAATTCACAGATTGAATAGAGAGAGGAGAAGGGAATTCTGTGAAGATGTGGAAAATCGTGAAAGTTAAAACAAGCTGACTAAATCTGCATGCTTCCCAGGGCAAGTTCCCAACTGGAAACATGTTGGAAAATCTGACTTGCTTACCTTGAAGTGCATTACTGGATTTGCAGCATGCATCAGGGACCATTTTACTTTGTCAGATAGGCTCTTGTATGAAGAGATCAGCTGAAAAATCAAAAGAATTAAAATGATTAATGTTCTCTTTCTTGTAGGAGACTGAGCCAGACTTTGATAACTGTGCTGTTTGTATTGAAGGCTACAAGCCCAATGATGTTGTCAGAATTTTGCCTTGCAGGTAAGTTGAAGGTCGACGGTTGCTTTTAGCTCTGATAGTGTCTCTGCTTCAAGACAGTCTCTGTTCTCCCAATTCTTTTGCTGTCCTGGGCCATGTCCAGGTGCTGAGAAAGGGATGAGTTCTATCATTAAAAAAAAACCCAGCCATAAAAAGAGATATGCTGAGTAGAAACAGTAAAGCAAAAAGGAAATGTGACAAAGACCACGTTATCTGTTGCTGCCATGAAAATATTCTCAGGCATGTGGGACATGGAGGTGACAAGAAGAGCTTTTGGGCTTGCTCTTTCTGGTTTCTTCCCCTCATGTGAACGTGCCCAGTGCAGCACATACACTCGCAGTGATGTGACACAGGAGCACAGCCTCTTGCCACCCGTAAGAGTTGTGTTCATCTCTCTGTGCCATTGTGTTGTCATCTGTGAAGTGTTAGCTGATGAAGGATTTCTCTAAGGGAATCAATTTCTTAGGAAATTTCCTAGGAACAGTGGTTCCCATAGGAGAGCAAGAGTAAGTGTTTGATTTCCCTAGAAATGGGAATCTCAAGTCCTGTACATACAGAGCAGAGATTGTTTTTTTTTTTTAAATAGTTTCTTTTTTCTCCTGCAAACGTGTTCACTGGCTTGATAAACTGAAATATTTGTTTCTTTTCCTGCTATGTTGTTCCCTAGTAGGTATTTGAATGTTAGAAGCTGTCCATTTCTGTTCATTCATGTGAGTCATTAAATCTGTTTACTGCCATCACTAAATGGCAAACAAAAAGCAACAGATTAATCATAAATTTGACCTACTGTAAATCCCCCACAATGACAAATTGCATGAGAACTCTTTTTTTCTATGAACAGACACAAATGCATCACTTCATGAAGCAGAAATACAGAAAAATGAGAAATTACCAGAAAATGTGGACCTTGGTTTGACATCAAGCGTGTTTTCATAGAAGCATACTAAAGCTTGGAAATATTGCACGATAGAGATGGGCAGTTTTTGGAGGTAGTTATACAACAGCAAAAAAATATGTCTAAGCTCTAGCTTTCGCTTGTGTCTCGCCTCATAATTCAATGAGGCTCTAGTCAGACTTTGACAGTGCTGAGTCAAGCAGAGTGAATAGGAAACACATAGTTAACAGGTGATGTTCAGTTCTTGGCTGACTTAAAAGGTCGCCTAGAAAATGACTCATGCTAAAAGGTTAGCAGCAGCAGAACAGTCTTGTAAAATACTCACAGTTTGATCCTGAGCAGTTTTGAATTATAAAAACTCAAAGATCTTTCTCAAGCAGCTGCTTCACAAACACTGGCTTTCCTGCTACGCAAATTGAGGGCAGTATTTTACACATTCACATGGGTTTGGACTTCCAAAACAGGAAATGGTAGTCATGATTCTTTCTGCTGTTGTCAGTCTTGTCTCCTCTTCCAAAAAAGAAAAAAAAAGTGGATTAATTTCTGTCTCTGTTAAATGAGTAAGAGATATCTTTATCTATCTTAATAAAGACCTTCAGACTCTGTAAGTTTCTTCCTCTAACATCCTCAGTTAAACTCTGTGCAGTTTCTGAGAACCTCATTAGACTGCTGTTTTATTAATAAGAGGCTGGCGTTTCACCAAGCCTTACAGAAGCCAGCACCATGTGACACCGGTGCTGGTTGACCTTAGTGTTTCTGTCGAGGAGGTTCTCAAGATGTGGAGCTTTTTACCTGCAAAGCCAAATACGCCCCAACTGCTGCACGTGAAAGGCGCTGCTTTGTACTGCAGGCAGTAGTGGGAAAACCACTGCTAGCAGGCACACTCTGTATAAAGCCCTGTATATCTTGAGATTTCTTTTCAAGGCTGGTGGAGCCTGAATCTCTGAAGAAATTGTTACAAAAAATTCACCAGCCAATATTGCAGTGGATGAGCTCTGAAGTCATATAGGTACATGTTTACTAGTACTTACACTGTTCCCCCAAACGTCCTCTCTCTTCTGTTGGTCGAGAGCGGGCACTGGGGTAGCCTGTTGGTACATCCCACTCTGGAGAGCTAGGAGGAGAATTCCAGTGAATTTGTTGTTCTTTGTCCTCTTTAGCCAGCTCCCACAACTGACTGTATTAATGAACTTCACAGAATGTATTAAATAAATAAGGACTGACACTTGATAAAAGAAGTGTTGGCTTGCAGCTGGTTTTGTGTTTAATGGTAGTAAGCATCACTGAAGTTATCTTTGAGGGCACTGACACAACATCAAGTGTAACCAAGTTCATTGTTCCCAGAGTGACATCTCTTGTCACAGCCCTAGTTCCTTCTGCTTGTCCTCCATCTCTAGCTTCAAAACGCCTTCGTCTTTTCTGGTCTGGCTTTGGAGAAGTTACTGGTGCTGCTGCTCCCAATGTCTGCCTTTTACTAAACTTTTACTAACTTTACTAAACTTCTGCAGAGAGGCAAGACAGTTCTTTCAACCTCATGTCTGCTGAGTTCTTCATAAGCTCTTTTTTTGGCTGTTTCATTTCTGTCACCAATATATGTGCTTTCTGACCCTGTTCCACCTTGTTCCCTTCCCCTGAACCTTCACTCTATGAACAACTGTGACTTCAGAGACTGCTTCACTCCTCTTTTCTGTTCATATTAGGTTCCTGTGAAAATTATTTCATCACACACATTCTTCCCTTTGATTCCTTCCTCTCACTTACCCGCATCATCATTTCTTCTTTCCTTCCTTCTTACTCAAAAATAAACACTTAATACCATAAATGCACCCTGAAAAGCCCGACTACCATGCTGCTCGGTCTCTCACCAAAACTCATCTCAATCCTCTGCTCCAGCCCTATGTCTAATCCAGGCAACTGGTGCTCTTACTCAGGGTCCCTAGGGATGTACCTCTCTTTTTGCTTTTGCCTCGTTTTCTCTTAGCTCATGCTTTTCCTCTGAGAAAAATTACATGACTGCTAGGGTTTTGCATACAGTTCAGAAAGTTGGGACAAGGAGCAGAATGTGGGAGGAGAACAATTTCCCTTAACCTGGAAAAAAGCTCGCTGAAAGCTTTACAATAGTTTTACAACAATCAAATAATTATTATTACAAGTTTGGGCTGAGCCCGAAATGAGGTGGTTTTTTTGTGTGTGTGTTTAAAATTGCAGCTTTAAAGAAAATTTAAATACATTTCCAACAAAAGTAATCTCCAGTTAAAAAATATGAAGTGCTGTTTGGATAATAGTAAATGAAATACTCTGGGATTTTGAGCTTCTTTTTCCTTCTTTGTGCTCTGTGTGCTCTACACAGCCGCGTGCAGTCACAGAGTCGCAGAAGAGTGCAGGAGGGATCCCAGGAGGGCAGCACCTCTGGAACAGCACAGGGGCGCTGGCCGAGCACGTGTCATTCTTGGGAGTTATTTTTCCAACACACTCTGCAGCCTCCAGGGATGAAGACTCTGCAAATTCCCCTGATAATTTATTGCAGTGTTTCACTGCCCTGACTGTGGTGAAGCTTTTCCTGTTTTGTAACCTGGATCTCGCTTGCTGCAGTTTAAACACATCATTGTGTCTCTTGTCCCTAGAAGAGGTGAAGAACGGTTGTTTCCTTTCTCCTTATGGAAGCCTTTGTTTTGTGTGAGGACTGTTGTGACATCTCCTCTCCTCTCCTCTCTCCTTCCTCCCTCTCAACTAATCAATCGTAGTTCTGTTGAGAAACTTTTCAGCCCATCCAAATCAACATAGTTTTGCATTGCATGTGGTTGCACACAACAGAAGAAAACCATATTTTTTTTCTAGCTCTGACTTTGATTGTCAAAGCCATGTCCCGAGCCTGTGCTTGAGACATCTCTCTTACTGTCTCCCTGTATGGGTCATTACTTCTGAACTCATCCATGATGCCTCTGCCCTCTCCTTCCTTTTAAAACTTGTATCAGTCAGAACTGCAGAGGGAGAGGGATTTTTGTTGCAGTTGGTCTTTTTGCATCTTTGCTTAACATGTGACAGTGAGATACTGCAGTTGTTCTCTCATCTTACTTTGTGCTGACCCTTATTTTGCCTGAATTTGGATGATAAACTTATCAGGAGATCAAACAATTCACAGTTTATTGAAAGCCATAAGCATGTATATAGTGCTGTAGTTAATAACGAATAAAATAAACTTTCAAATTCAAATCTGCAAGGCCTGCCACCTCACTTCTCTGCACAAGTGTTTACATGGACAGAAGCAGATATTATGAGTGGTCTAATTGTCTAATATGGTACAAAAAATTGAAAATGCAAATCTTTAACTGTTTTTCAGTAACATTCCATTTTTCTGTAGATTTCTGTCAAAGAATAAAGTTCCTTCTGTTGTACATACTACATCTGAAATTAATAGAGCCATAATACATTGTGCTAATTTAGTACTGAGAAGTGCAAATTGACATGATCTGTCATGTATTTAAATTACTGGGCATTGGTAGGATTTATTTTAGAATATTGTTTTTTTGAAGCCAACTTTAGGAACACTAAACTTCCATTTTTAAAGTCTTTAAGGCATGAAAGTTCCAAGCTTTTGGTGGTTAACAAACATTATGAAATGCTGTAATATGAACCACAGCTTGACTGAGGCTTGCAAAGCTTGAACTTGAAAACAAAAGGAGGCTTTCTAGTCCATGGTAAAATGGCTTGATAGAAGTTATGTGGTTTCTTTTATCCGAAACAGATTTTGGAAAGCTGCTTTTTCAAGAGAATAATAAATATCTCAGATTTTGTAAATGTACTGATTATTTTGACACAAAAATGTGTTGCAGATGTTTGCAGTTAAACATATTTGTTCATTAATATGAGTATATAATTAAAGAAAACCAATCGCCATCAGGTATTCCATAGTTATTTCAAATAGCTGAAAAACAAGACACTGACTTTGAGTACCCTCTGTGAATTAATACAGCTAAGGAATTCTGCTGGTTAGACTTCTAAATGTAGAATTACACAATCCTGAGGACTTTATGCTTTCACCTATTCAGAATGCTTGCCTGATGATGTGCTGAAGATGTCCCTCTGGAGACTTACGAAAGATAGAGACTGAAATTTTGGTGCATTTTGTTTTTACCCAGTAAAGCAAGTCTTGTTTGGAAGAAGCATTGTGAACTTTAGTAGGCTTAGTAAAGCCGTGGTTTAAACTTCAAATATCATGATACTTCATTTGTGTTAATCATACTGGCATACAGGATCAGATGAGGTTTGACAAAGTTTGGTGTTGCAGCCAGCTGATATAATTAGACTAGGTCGAACTTCTAAGAACAGATTTGCCCTTTCCCATAGTTGTGTGAAGTCAGACCAAGTACAGGAATGTGATAATTTGCCATGTAGCTTCCTTTCACAAAGGACCGTTTTTTTCTAGAAATAGTTAGAAAAAGCATCGCAGTGAAAAGAATAGGATTCTGAGATTTCACACAGTTTTGGCTTTGAATTTCTGGTGTTATTTAGGACTGAAGCCAGCTAGCAAGCCAGAGAGCTGATACTGTGTTTGTGAGAGCCAGGGTTGCAAATGAATATTGGTGAAAGTGCACTTCAGTATCTTCCATCAAGTTGAAAGGCCATGCATGTCTTGTTGTGTGAGAGACACCACGACACACTACAGCAGCTAACTCCTTCAGCTGAATATGTACCACTTAAATATTTAAAATTATTTTTATTGCTTGAAGTGATTCTGGCTTTCTCAGAGATTGCCTTTGCTTGTGGGGGCTGGCGTGTGCTCTGCTCCAGGCGGAGTCTTGGGCAGCTGTGAGCTGTGTCCACCCAGGGATACCTGGTGGGTTCGTGTGGCCGTGCTGTACGAGCGAGGCATGCCCGTGGGGCAGTGACAGCACACGGGATGCAGGGACAGCTAGGGACTGCTCAAATGTGAGGGTTTAGGCAGACCAACTTTTTAGGCAGAGTGACTTTTGAGTAAAATGCGGGACACCTGTTGCAAGCCTTAGAACGGAAATTTATCGCTAAACTATACGGTGCTTTAAACAAGCACATTACTTTGCCTAGCGTGTAAGTGTCCGTTGGTTTTAGTCTCTGAGAAAAGTGGCCCCCAGCAGCCACAGGGCTCAGGTGGTTGCTTAGAGGCCACTTCAGAAGGAGCGCAGGATGAGCAACATCCCCTTCAGGGCTGGGGTTGTTTAGGAGCTCACTGATGGGCAGCTTCTAAAGAGCAGGAAAGTCAGGGAGAATGTTTTTAAAAAGCATCATCGTGCGTTTTTCCATTTAAATGAAAAGTAGCATTTCTTTTTAATTCACTTTATTTCCTTGTGCCTGCATCCTATAAAGTACCAGACCCCCAGTGGCTTCACATTTAAATTATGTGTAATCAGGTTTGTTTGTAGAACCATCAAGAAATACTAATGTGATTTTTACCTTTACCAGCAAGCAGGTTTTGTTTACTGACAGCCTTTAACATTTAAAAAATACGGGGTTTGCTGATGCATCTGTTGTATTTTTCCTAATTCTCTAATTATATATATGTCTACTTTTCCAAACTCGGCAACACTGTACACATGTGCTTGAGATGCTGCAGAAATCATTTTAGTCTTGTGTACTTAGGATATAGTTTTGCAGTCCTTGCAGAGGTCACAAACCACACCATTTGAAATACTCTCCCTTTACTGAATTCAGAAGAAGCGTCTGCTACTAAGTGATAAATTGTCCTGTGGTGCATTTGAATTAAAATATCCTGGTTTTCATTGCAGGCATCTTTTCCACAAGTCCTGTGTAGACCCCTGGCTCCTAGACCATCGTACCTGCCCGATGTGTAAAATGAATATTCTAAAAGCTCTGGGGATCCCGGTAAGCACATTGCAGAGCAGGCAATCAGGGCAAAAAGGAAACACCAGCTACTTGGAGTATAATCCCTAGCCCTTTGCCTGCCTGTTCCCATCCTACTCTTCTTCCCATGTTACTGATTTATTAATTGATCTGTTAAGAGGAGTACAAGCTGAAATGTCTGACTCTACCTCTCTCCCGCACCCCACTTTTAATAGCACAGAAGAATGTGTGTATGGGGGTTGGTTGGGTGTTAGGATTTGTGTGTCTGTGGTTACCTGCTTTGTGGAGCAGAGGATTGTTTACTGGTGTTTTGGTGGATTTATAGATTCTTTCACATAGCTTTTGTTTGTGTTTTGAATTAGGACTGGATTTATTTTTTTAATCATGCTCTCAGTTCAAATCTCAAAGCAGAAGGTCTGCAAATAAAATTTTCTCTTCTATCCTAGTCGAGGACAGCTAATTGCTCATTCTGGGGAGCCAGATTTTTTTTTCTGTCAGATTTCTCTTAAAGTCTGTCTGTAGCAAGCTCTGCGCTCCTAATTCCAATTAGGGAGCATTTCTCCCAGTAACGAAGCACATGGCGGACCGCATGACGTGCAAGAAATTGTTAAGCTCTTTGTTATTTGGAACATTCAGATGTGGTTAGAAGCTGCCAAAGCAATTGATCTTTTGGGGTTGCATGTTTACATTCAGATAGCATATGTCCTGTCTGCTGTACAGTTGCCTAACCGCAGCTATCGCAGGGATCAGGGGCTTCACCAGGAAGAAGTGAGTCACTTTCTCACACTGTGCGAGGCTTGCCACGGGATAGAGAAGTACAGAACTGAAACACCACCAGTTGATGCGTTAACAGGTGCTGTAAATACCCTCCCCAATTACAGCTGGTGACATGCCAGCTCACGTATGAAAGAGCTGTATAAAGTAGCTCTTGTGAACATATTAGGGGAGCTGATGCAGCCATTCCCCAAGAGTTCATTTTCTTGGAGACTGGGAAGCCAAGCAGGTTGGTGCAGCAGAGGTTCCACAGCAAGCGATGAACCATGTTTTTACTGAAGTAGGCAGATATGTTAATCAACCTAATGTAATCCAAGCTAAAAACATACAATGGGAAAAATGAAGTAGAGCACTGCAGTTAGGGTAACACATCATGACACTTGGGCTACTTTTTCTGCTAAGCATGTATATTACCTTTAGAATATTAAAAGGTGATACAGCTGTTAAATCAGTATTTGAGATGTCGGGACAGGTCGGAATGAAGGTTGGCTCTGCCATGTAGCATCTCTGTGCCTAGGCTTAAATAGAGAAATTTTTCCCCAGGTTCCATGTCTTAGTTCACAGACCTGCCAGTGGGCAGTTACCCAGGATTTTGACACCTCTTCTCCTTACCTGATATATTGTTCGATGGTTTTCTTCTGCATCATGCAGGACCACACGATTTCTGCTCTCACGCTGGTCCATTCCCATTTTTGCCCAAGCATTTCATTAACATGCTCTTCATCCAGCTTCATAATCAGGGAATACAGACAAATCAGACCTCCACTTCTTGGAGGTCTGCAGTGAGATGTTGTTTCCCAAAAGTTTGGTACCGTTAGTATTTACATCCAGAATACAGCTTTTACTACAGCTCTGTAGTGGGAGGTATGGAACCTAATTCCCAGGACTAATTAAAAACACCATTCAGTTTCCTCAGCCATTGTTTCTCTTTTCGCAGCTCCCTGCCTCATTCTCTCTGTACCATGTAACAGAAGGGGGATCCATCCTGCTCCCCTCCCCGCGAGCTTTCGACATGGAGCTTCTGTGGAAATAATTGTACCAGGCGTGTAAAGATACTGCTGTAACCAACATAAACAACTGGGTCAAATTAAGATTTCAGAATCAGCCATAGTGCTGGACTGTCTTAACACTAAATATCAAGCGCTTGGATGTTAATGTTCCACAAGCGAAGTTTGTTTAGAGGATTTTATTATACAAATTTCTGTAAAAATTTCCCTAGGTTGTTGTAAGACAACAAACTGAAAACAGCCTGCTCTACCATTTGGAGGAAGCATACTGGCTCCCGCCCACACGGACCATCAGTTAGGTTACGAAGGGAGAGCTACATGAGCTGCATGCTAGAGCCTTAACCCTCGAGGTGACTTACAGTAGGAGCTTCGTGTCAGGAGTTCCCTCTGGCTGACTGCAAAGGAAGTGGGACCCTAAGAGCATCTGGTAGCCTGGGCGTTAAAAATTCCTATACTGCTATCAGTTGTTCCTCTTCCTCCGTTTTCCCTGCCTTCTTTTTCTAGAATATGCCTCAACTCCTGCTTCTCCCTCTCCTACCTCATGCCCTTTCATGCTTCTCCTCTGCATAACCCCTCCTGTCCAACCTTTATCCCTTTGAGCTCCTGACCTGGTGTCGCTGCTCATGCTCCCTGCTCTGCTGTTAGGACCTATTCTCCACCCGCACAGAAACTGTGTGTCCTCACCCTCCTCGCTGCCCGGCGCCAGCTGAGGGCAGCCCTGGGTGGGCATCGGTCCCGTGGGGTGCTTTCTGGTGCCACCATGAGCTTGCAGGCACCATGCAAAGCCCTCTTCTCTTTGGAGAAGTGTAACTGTCAGTCCCGAATAAGCCACCAGTCTCTATCAGCACACGTGAACTGGTATTTTCAGAGGCTCGTAACTTAGCCAGATGTCAGTAGGCTCTTGTGGGAAAGGACGTTTCCCTGGAAGAAGCTGTAAAGCTCTAGGGCTTCTCAGTGAGAGGTGGCAAACATTTCTGTAGACTAGATAAAGCAAAATGCCATTCCCTAATCAGATTCTTGAGTCTTGCTGAGCCATCTTAGCTGAAATTTCCACACATAAAAAAGCAGCCTTAGGCAGGCAGCAGTCTCTGATGGGAGACTTGAGCGCAAATTTGCCAGAGTCATTTTGCAGGCTTTACAATGGGAGGAATGAGGAAATCTTGCCATAGGCAGGACTAATACGTTTTTTTTCCCCTGCCCAGCTGCATATTTGTCCTGTGGTTGTTACTAAAGAGCTAGCCTGTGGGACTGTGGATATATTGTGCTTCATTTAGCAGGAAGACTCGGGATTTTCCAGGACAAGATTGGTTAAAACCCAAGTATCTAAATGCTTCAATTCAGTTCACATCTAAACTCTCCATTTACTTTGTGACAGAGTTTCAAATATTATCTGCCCTAAAACCAGATTCCCCAGGCTGCTGTGAGGCACCAAAATGACTTCACTCATTTGTCACGGTAGCTGAGCACCCTAGCATCTCTGCTTTTCACCGTGGTGCTCTGCAGTTCCAGAGGATTATTAACTATCTGTCTGTCTATCTATCAGCAAATGGTTGGCGTAGCCTTTTCCACCATCTCTTTGCTGGTGAATTCAGCTCAGACTATACCTCTTTTGGCTGTAATATTTGAATTGAATTATCAGTGAAAGTGTGATTCGCTTTCAAAGAGCTACATTGTGTTTGGGATGATTGTATCACATAAAATAGTTTCCCTCTGCTTCTCCCCCATTTCTGCAAATATCCGCTGGATACGCAGGCAGCTGCATTTTTGGCAGCAGATTGGATGACTTGAAGCTATTCACTGAGAGCCTTAGCCAAGCCCTCAGAAGTCAATACAAAGCCTTCCCTTGACTTCAGTGGAATTGTGCCCTCAAAGCACTTACATGTAGGGAATGAGTGAAACCAATATAATTAAACTTAGCAAATGTATCTGGGTCACTCTGACAGCAGAAGCCATGATGTACTTTTTGCGATCAGTGTTTTATATCATTAGTTTTATAGTATACTGCTTAGTTTGGGGCATTTTTTCCAACTAAAATGATTCAGGAGTAAAGGGATTCATTATATCAAGCAATGATATTCTTGCATCTTTAATGTTTGGTTTGGCTTTCAATTATAATCCCCCATTTTTAAAGTTTTAAAAATTAGTGATAAAATCCCATTCCAGGAATAACTGGAATCGGAACAAAGGACAGAAAACTGATCCCCTGACAAAAAATTTAAGATAGTTTTTCCTAGAGTAGAAAAGAAAAAGCAGTCTTTTTTTTGTTTGTTTTTTTTTTAGATACACTGCCATCGAAGCTAAATTTAAGTTTAAAATGAAATTCTGAAAGTGTTTGTTATAACAGCTAAGGGTGAGGGAAAGGGTGATAAATCTAAGGAATAATTTTGGATCCAGGTCCTACAGATGTATGATTAGTATTTCACTTAGAAAAGTACAGGTTCAATGAGTTTCGTTAAAAGCTGGTATAGCTGAATGTGCCTTTATCCCAGTTCTGAGGAGCAGTCGCTGCTTGTGGATTAGACTGGAGCCAGATAAGGACAATTCTAATTTTTATCCCAAACTTCAGTTTGTGGATACAAGGCACCTGAGGATTGTTTAAAATGCCTGCCTTTTTCGTTAGGAACATTTGTGAAAAAACATTTATGAGGTGGTAGCAATCAGACAGGGAATGTACGGGAAAAGAGAAAACGTGCTAAGTTCCTGGTTCTGCAAAAAATGTAAGCATATGGTAACTTTCTATGCCCGAGTTCAAAGGGATTACTCTTGTGCTTAAAGCTAAGCCTCTGTTTAAGTCTTTGCTGTATCATATTTTGCCTAGTTTCTAGGTGCCTGCTGTTGGAGATAGGCAAGTAGTAAGATTTTTATAAAATGCCTTAGCCAGCGAGACAACTAAGCTTAACAAAAATCAGATCCAAAGAGCAGAGTACATCTCTGACTTTAGCCATCCAGACGCTGGATTTCCAGTCTAGCAGCTTAAGCTTCATCTCTGCTTAGTGCTGAGCAGTGGGAAGGCAGAGGGGGCAATTCATACCACTTACCTTAAAGTGGGATGAATCACAGAGTGAAATTGTCTCAAACCGTTGACGTTAGAGGAAACCGAAGTGACTGGTCCAGATTAACTTTCTGGCTCCTGGACAGTAAAGGTAAATGGGAACAACTTAACTTTATGTTTCCTAACTTAACCAGGTATCTGCGTAGTTGCAGCTCAACCTTGCTATGTCCCTCTGTCATTTTGGACGCTTTGCACCCTGACACACAGCATCCTTATTTCTGCATTAACCTTGTTTTTGTTACAAAATGTTAAAACTTCAAAACCCAGTTCTTGAAAACTTAGTTATGCAAACAGTTTTTTTCCATGCCTTGGGGAGAACTAGACCTGTTTCTATGGGCAAATGGCACAAGAATCTGTTTCCTCTTAGAGGAAAAAGAGCTTTTTTTACTCATATGTTTGTCACCAGTGTTTATGGGGAGCTCCATAAAAATCACAGCTGCATGAGGGGGAGCATCAGGCTTATAACAGGTCCAGAGAAATCAAGGATAGAAAATAGTATTGGATATAGTGTCTCTGGACAAAGAACCCTCTTTGCCACCCAGTGCCCACTTGAAGTCTTAGTGCTCTTCATGAACAGGCGCTCAGTGCTAAGGATGCTGTGCAAAAGGTGGGTACCACAACCCCCTCTCATTGCTTCCCTTGACTTGAAGAGCTTAGCTCATTCTGGAGGTCTTGGTGCATTCACTGCTGCGAGAAAGAAGTGTCTAAATTCCCCAGAACTGGGTTCCATCCTTGGCCTCTCTGAATCAGAAAGCAAGAAAGACTATGAATTGAATAATTCTCTTCTAATTGCCATTACTGCTTGTTTGTTTCTTTTCTCATAATTTTATTTAGTAGCAAATATAGCATTAGCAAAGGAGAAGATCTTATCATGTTAAAAAAACTTGTCTTTATAAACAGCTTTAGCTTCTATTTTTTCACCCCACACATAGATGCGCCCACAGGCATTTCCCTTGAATTCCTATTCCTGAAAGCTCTGATACTGGCTCTATAAAATGTATGTTTAGGGAAAAGATAATCATTGCCCTTCAACTACTGTCTCTGTTTACATTTGTAATCTGATTCAGCAATCTGCCTCTGTTGAGCAGATCATACCAATAAGTGAGTTACTTTTTTAATGTGCACTCTCCCAAACCCGTTAAAAAGTATAAAGAAGAATATTTAGAGATCGTAGGTGGCACAGTTTAATACTGAATATTTCCAATGCATGCTTTGGGTCTCTCTTGCAACAGATTGTGTTAAGAAGTTTGAAGTACATGGAAACAAATAAACTGTGGTTGTTTATTCATCGTATGTTGCCGTTTTCAGCACTGAAAAACCCTAAAGAAGTGGGAACAGGTAAATTAAATCTTTTTATGAGGTAACAGCTGAATTTTCTTCTTTTTCTTCCCATTAGCCAAATGCAGATTGCATGGATGATATACCTCCAGATTTGGAAGCGTCCATAGGAGGACCACCAACCAACCAGATAACGGGAGCCAGCGACATAACAGTGAACGAGAGCTCCGTAGCCCTGGATCCCCCGGTGCGGACTGTGGGAGTACTACAGGTCATCCAAGACGTAGACTCCTTCCCCCAGGTTGGGGAGGGTAACTTCACTACAAGCAGTAAGTTCCTCTTTATGGCAGAATTTGCGCTGAAATAAATGTTTACAAACCCAAATCACAAACCGATCTCTAGTGTGGGAAAAGGGCCTTTGAGGGCTTTTTCACTGGAGCAATGGCCTTACTTCAAGCCCAAAGGAAATCTACAGGGTAAGTGAATTTAAAGACCATGTACTGCAAACACTTCCAGCCTGTGTGCAAATTGGTGTGTTGAATAGCAGACTAATTGGAGTCCTCTGCATGGACAGAACAAACTATTTCAGTCAATACAAACCAATATAAACTTATGGTCATCTTCAGATATTGTTTATAGTAAGCGATCCCATTCCCCATAAACCCACCATGTATCACCTGGCTTCTTTGTGAAGCAGTTTGGTGTGTGTCCTTTGGCCTGCCTTTTCTCACTGGGCTACATGTACTGTGTGGAAGTTATTCTTATCTGCATATCACAAAATAAATAGTGAACACAGCAAACACGTTTACTGCCTTCAGTCAAGAAAAAAAGAAAGTTGAATTCTGGTTTTGCCTTTCCTTTATCTTCTTACATTAGCTGAAGGTCATCTGGTTATTTATTCATACTTGAACTTCCTCTTTCAGAGGAATGATGGTCAGAGTTCCTGTACAGGAATACCTGAGTGTAATGAAATAATGCTGCCAATTTCTACCAAAAAAAGGAACATTTTGGATGTTTTCAATGTGTTTAGTTTTCACTTGTTTAAGGGACACCATTTGAAGCAGTAACTCTCAAAATGTCTGCATGTGTGTCTGGTCCTTGTTGAAAATCTACTTCTGACAGTTTAAAAAAAAGATGTTGTCAGCTGTTTTGAGTGAGGATTGTCCTAGTCTAAAATTCTTATTTTTAAGTAAAATAGCAGATCAGTAACAAATACATATCTGTTTGATACCAGTTGGTGTATTAGTATTGACAAGACTATTGTAGAAAATCATCAGATATACCTGAAGGGAGGTAGAAGAATGTTTTAAAATATAGGTTTGTGTATGGAGTCAGCATAGGTCCTGGAAAAAAATGTACATTTTCAACCATTTCTAGGTACTACAATGGGCCTGGGCGTGAAAAAGAAGGCGAGTAATAATATGATGTGTAAAAGGTAGGAGAGAAAGGAGAGGATGAGGCTGAAATTATTTTGCATTAGTCTCCTTACTTCAGGGAGAGACTTGATAATCGCATTTTCCCTCATATTGCAGCCAGTGTCCTCGCAGTGAAAATAACTTCTGGAAACGCTGGGCTTGTTGCCTTAGCCACAAGTGACCCAGAAGTGAATTTTTAGGTTTTCCCTTGATGGATTAGGTACTGGTTTCAGATTTGGTTCTTTTATGGTCTAAGTCCGGAGTCCAGCAAGGGGTGAGCAGCAAGGCTATAGGCCCAGCTGTCATCCAGGGCCAGCCTGTCAGCTGGGGGCATACAACTTTCTCAAGCCTTCTTGAGTGCTGGCAAGAGCTGTTCAAAATGAGATGTTATTTTGTTCCTTCCAGCAATTGTTTTTAAACGCGTGCAAGGCTGATTTAAACCATGAAGGAAAGATTTTACTTCCTAGTACCACAATGTAGCTAAAGACTGGGCTAGACACTGGTCTCCGCTGTACCCTCTTAACTCCTGACCTTAACTCTTAACCTTAGCTCCCCTGTCAGATAATTCTCCTTGTCCCGCTGTTCTTTACAAGGTCCACTGCTGGGGTTGGGAAGGAGGGCCGTGATGTGCCTTTACACTACAGCTGCATGGCACATGCTGAGAAGAGCCGACAGCCTAGTGCAAAGCCCAGCACTAGGGGTGGTCCATGCTTTTCATCCCAGGATCCTGGCACTCCAAGAAGCAGTTCTTCTGGTTTGTCGTCAGGGGTAACAATGGTGTTGAGGCAGCCAGGGAGCACAAAAAAATTTCCCTCCGGTTTTGTTTCCAGAGTCTGCGGAAGGATCGGTGTCAGTCCAAACACATTTGTTCTCCATTTTCCAAGTTGCCAGCTAAGTAACTGGGTGAGAAACCTGCTCTGAGCCAGCAAAGTACTGCAGGACTTGCAGATATGCTTTATTTTGTCTAGGTGCCCTCTGTTTTTCCCCTTAGCTTTATTCATTGGGCAATAGACACTAACAATGGGCAATCCTGAGGGCTGACAGCAGAGCCCATGGACAAGGAACTCGCACCAAGACCAATGGTCTGTCCAGGCACGGGGTAATGAGGCAGCAAACCATGGAGCTTCAGGAGATCGCTGTCACCTGAAGAGACTGGCCATATGGTCTGGGGAAGGAATGCGGAAAGGGTTTTTCTCTGATTATTTGAGAGACAGGGAGAAGAGAGCAGGGAGGGGAAGCTGTTCAGATGGCCTGAGCTCTGTAAAGGTCTCACGCCATCACAGGGGTGGCTGGGCATCCACCTCTAAAACGAGACCTTTGCAGTTGTTTTTTGAGGAAAAAGGAGTCCTGAGGACCTTGGGAGCTTCCAGACCCTGGTGTGTGCGTGCCTACACTCCGCCTGTCACACACAGTCACTCAGGGACCTCTGGTTTAATGCTTGGTTAGCTGTTGTCACTCACCCATCATTGATATGTAGACATGAATCTTCATCTGGATTTCTCATCTCAGAGTGGAATACAATGCTTGAATATTAGTCAGTGGTATGCGTGCAAGCTTACATGCTGTCATCATCACATCCAAAGTGGTGCAGTTTGCAGTAGTTCCCAGAAACAGCATTTGGTCCCTTTTTGCAGCAGAGCTGCAACAAAGAAAAGCGGTCTTTGGTTGGCAGTTAGAGGCTGAGTTCCAACAGCGATTGGAATGTGTCCCTCCAGCTGCCTTGTGTGGACTGGGGCTGTTCAGGCACTCTGAAAGGTGGAGCTTAGCATCTTAGGCAGCCTGAACTCTTAAGCCAGTGAAAGGGGAACATCCAGGACTGCTGTATAGTTGTGATGTGAAAGCAAATGCTAACTAAATCAGAGGGCAACTGTAGGTAAAATAACTGGGTCATAGCTGTCATATAGATGGGGCTTTATAGGCATTGTATCTGTTTATTGTATTTGGGCGTTGTATTCTCATTTCCAGAATCCGCATAGTTACACAACACCAGAGATCGCTGAGCATGCCTTTTCTGTGAACCACCCTGCCTGGGAATTTGTAAGTGATGATGCTGATTGCTCCTAGGAATCTTTGCTAAAGTTGCTAGGTTCTGGCCTGTTTATATAGCATTAGTCACAGGAGCATACTCCAAGGCTGAATCTGTGCTAGCAGGTTTTTTTCCTCTTGTTACTGTATCTGTGCAGACTGCCTCCAGTGCAGTCGTGACATGGCACCCTGTACCCAGCACCAAGCAGCCTTCTTTCCACCCACTTCTGTGATACTTTTTGCTTAATAGTTGTTGCATGCTTTTTGTTAATTGTTGATTAATCATTCTGGTATTGTTGTCTTGTTTTGTGTTTAATTTCCCCTTCTGTGTTTCCAGTGAGTATTCAAAGGCAGAAGAGCTCCCACAGTGTGTCTGGAGGGAGGTCATATCCAGAGTACTGTTCACACAGGGTGAAATTCTGTCTCCATTGAAATCTGGTGGCAAAGCTCCCACCTACTTTAGCGGGGCCAGATTTTCATTTCTGGAACTCAGCCAGTGCTTTTCTTTTTATTTCTCTGTGTGTGCTCAGCAGACATTTCCTCTTCTCCCCCTCCCTTTTTCTCCCCATCCTCCTGAATAGATAATGTCTTTCATGGGACCCTCAGCAACGTGGTGTACTATGAACATCTGGATGGGACTTCATTTGGAGGCCCATCTCTAGGGTTTCTTGCTAACCCAAGCATCTCCTGTGTAGTAGCAGTGAGCACTTGAAAATGGACCAGCAGCTTCTCTCAGCTGGCTTCTACCAAGATCCAAGCCTTCATCAAGTCCGTTGGGCGTATCTACAGTCCAAAGTCTGTTCAGTATTTAGTCTTGTGACTGCTTGTTTTCTGCAGTGGGATGTTATGCAGGATCCTGGGATGCTATCTTGTAATGTGGTATTTCTGTAATCAGTTGCTGAAAATGGATAGATGGAAAAAAAGAAAAACTTGAGTTGGAAAAAAAAAAAAGGGGGGGGGGTGAAAAAATTGTGTGAAATACATAAGAGTTCATCTCAGCTGAATTCCCTGCTTTGACCCTATTATTTTTCAGCTCTCCAGAGGGTATGAAAGAAGAAAAGCTAAGGATCTTTTTCCACAATAATGCATCGTAGCAATCTGTGTTGCCTAACTTTTAGTAGTGAGTTATGCAAAATGCTAACGTCTTTGGAAATTTCAGCACACGTGGAATTTCCTGCCCCATAGATGATGTGAGTGTGAGGTGGACTTGGCTAAGATCTGAACTTGAAGAAGCTCTGAGCTACACCAGCTTTGGAGGAGTGGAAAGTGGATTTGGGGTTTGAGGACATTGCAATATTCTTTGGGTCAGGCTCAGATGGGATTGAATGATATGGTGAAAAAAGGTAGTTTGCTGGGAAAGTAGCATCTAGATATTTTAAAAGTTGTATGGTGACACTTGCCGGGGAAAATGTAGTTGTTAATTTTTTTCAGCTTTTATAGCATCCATGGTCATTCATCTCCCTCAACCCATGTGACATTTGCTAATTTCTGCAGTAGATAATGTGCACTGCCTGAATCTTTGCTCTCTGTTGGTAAATACCTCTAGTTTTTCAGTTTAGACAAGCTTTTGTATTCTCTTCAGTGGGATGTCTTACCACACTGCGTAAGGCCTCAGAGATCCCACCAGCACTGTCTCTGTAGTTGGAGGAAGATCCATAAATAATTCTAATGCGGACATGGGCAGGAATTTTAGAATGAAAAACCACAGACTCTTCCCCAAGGTGTCATATCGAGTTCATGGTCGAGTTAGGATCCTACGTGGAGGAAGCAGACACCAGCACTGTCTCTGTAGTTGGAGGAAGATCCATAAATAATTCTAATGCGGACATGGGCAGGAATTTTAGAATGAAAAACCACAGACTCTTCCCCAAGGTGTCATATCGAGTTCA